AATAAAGAATTCGAAATGGGAGATTTCTAGGTATGCTCAAGGAATAGCAAGCAGACCACTGTGGCTGTAGTACAGTGAGTGAGAAGGGGAGTGACAGAGGAGGTCCCAGATCACGGGCCCTTCTTTGGATTTCCACTCTACTCCACGGTTAGGGAAGTCGTTGGGAGGTTTTGAACAGGAGAATGACATGATCAGACTGGTGTTTTAAAAGGCTCATACCAGCTGTTCTGTTGAGAATAGACAGTAGAGAAGCAAGGGAGGGAACCAGAGACCAATTGGGAGGTGACTGCAGTGGTAAAGGCAAGAGAACATGTGGCCTGGACCAGGGTGTTAACATTGCAATTGGGTTAATTTAGTGTGTATTTGTGGCATAATGATTGAATTCAGTTGCTTTATATTTAGCTCCCCTATGAGCCTATAAACTTTTGGAAAGCAAGGACTGGGTTTGATTTATCTTTATGTCCTGAGTCCTTAAAATAAGGCCTGCTAAAGAAGGCATACAATATTATTTTTAAACTGCTTTCTTTTTTTTTCTTTTTCTTTTAAATAAGTGAGTATCTGCTTATAAACAAATGATTGAAGGATGACATATGATGTCTCATTGTTACCCCCATCTCCAGATGAGGAGACTGAGGTTCAGAGACATTAAATCTCGATCAGGTTCTCACAAGCCACAAAGGGATGAAGCCAGTCTTTCATTTCAAGTCTGTCTGACCCCATAGCCCTTACCTTTTCAATTTCGTCAGCTGGGCTGGTACTGAGAGGGTGCTGGGGAGCCACAGGAGAAAAGGCTGGATGGAATTCCCGGCCATGAGCAGCAACCCCCACCCGTGATGACAGACAGAGCTTCCTTCAAGAACAAAGTCCTGAGATACTTCCTGAGTAGAAAAGATGTGGTTTAGGGAAAGCCTCCTTTCTAGGCAGAATCAACATGCACCTGTGTGGCTAGCCTTTCTGATTCACACATGGGGGTTATATTTTATTTTTCTATTTTTTGAAAATAAAAAGAAAATGTAAAGAAAAAAGCAAAGTCCCAGTTGCCAAGTCTGTTAACGACACACATAATGGTGTGTTAACACGGGTGATTATCGAGCTGGACAGCACCCAGATTTCTGCCAAAACAAACCTTTCTGCTCAGCTGACCTGGGAATGCTTCAGTCAGAGTGAGACAGAGCGAGGAGGGTGAACTACAGTCTTTCATGGTCTGGAAACAATTAATGCCATAGCTATTGGTATTGCTGCCTTTGCTGTGGGCTTTCGATGGGAAGGACTGGACCTCAGGTCTCTTACGACCCCTCCACAAGACCGCAGGCAAATCTCCACTTGTCTCTGGGTCTCAGTTTTTCCACAAGCGGGTTGGATTAATGATCTAATATTCATCGGTTTTAACTTTCAGTGCTTCTGGGCAGCCTTCAAGGAGCCAGGGGACTAACTGAGCTCTGGGCCCCTTGTGCATGCAAACAAGAAGGAGGGTCTTATCTGCATAGCAGAACCAAGCCGGCACCACCAGTTCGGTGGCCTGTGCAACACCTCCAGATTGCTCTACCAGCTGTGACACCCTGGGTGTCAACTAGGTCTCTATTTTCTCACCTGTAAAATGGCAAATGGGCTTCCCTTAACGAGCTGTTATGAACATTAAACAAAATACAAGATGTAAGGTACTTAGCACAGTGCCTGGCACATAGGAAATCACAATACATCTTAGTTTCTTACCCTTATTCCTACACTGCCTTATTCTTTCTTCATTTCTTTCTTCTTTTCCTTCTTTTATCCCCTCCTTTTTTCCTCTTCTTCTCTTCCAGGAGAAAAATCTGTCTTGAATTATGATGCCGTGAGCCAGTTTATCTGCTTCATTCAATTGCAAATTACTACAGCAGAGACCATGTGTGGGTCACATTTTTATCCTGTTTATCTGCATGCACAAAGTAAGTGCTCAATAAATCCTTGATGACTCAATGATGGAGTCGAAGGCAAGCTTACTATCACTGGTTTCTTGGCTTTCTCATCTCTCTTTCTTCTGATGGAAACATAAAAAGCATACACACTCACACTCTCACTGACTTGCTTGCATGCCCCTCCCTTCCCCAGGCTATAAAAAACATTAAATTCTAAAATGAAACAAAGGTAATGGAAACCAGAAAGCCATGTTTTGTGTGAGATCGAAAACATATGTTAAGAATGAGGATTCAAAATGATGAATCTGCACAAGGCTGTTGGCAATGTCCCCTCTCCGCCTTGCTGCTCTGGCCAGAAGCAGGAGTGTGCAGATCTGCTTTAGCCTCCAAACCGAGACAGCTGCAGTGGTCAGCACAGCAGGCCTGGACTAGCCATGGGCATGTTCTTCCTTCAAGCATCTCCTGGAGACTACTAGGTAGTTAGGGGGTGAGGATCACACAATATTTTTCTGACCTTTAAAAACATGGGAAAAGGATCTCTGTGGGTTCAGAAACAAAGGCTTTACTTCTGTTTTGCCCTTAAGATAATAGACTCTATCACTTGTTGATTCTCTCCTGTTAAAAGATAAACTGAGGCATATTACACATTTTTCAAGTTTAAGCAAAGATTGATTTGAATCAGGAAGCATCTAATCTAGCAAATAGAAAGGAGCTCTAAGAGATGTACAAAATGAAAAACTTTTACAGGCAGACAAGAGCAGGAACAAGTAAGTTATACTAGGCAAAAAGCAAACTGGTATCACAGGGATACTTTCCTTTAGGGGATGGCAGGAATCTGTCGGGCAGGTTGCCTAACTAGTGCTGATCAGGTAATTCTTGATTTCCTGGTTTAAGATCCCATCTCTGGGAGAGCTGAAACTATAATTAAGTCTTGGTTTGGTGATGTGGGTCTTGGTGCAAGTGACTCAATTTTGGGTATGAACACTTTTCTGAGTTCTATATTAGGTCAATAGCTATTTTACAGGGTTGTTTTGAGTTTCATTCTTCTCATTTTACAGATGAGGCAATAAAGTTATAAAGTCTCAGTGGTAGACTGAGAATATAATAATAGTAATACCCATCGACACTGTTACCATTTATTTGTTTACTTATGCATTCATTCAGTAGGTGTTTATTGTGCACCTGCCATAGGCCAGACACTGTCGGTTAGATGGGTTAGATGGCATTGAAAAAGAGAGATAAGTTCTGTTGTTATAGTTGCGTGGCAAAGATGTCATGACCTGTTCAGTGTTCAAGTTCACTGATTATGATATAAGAGAAATTCCAGTTGCTGTGAGCCTTTGTGATACAAGGAACTTGGGTCTGAGGTTTCTGTGGAAGCTCTCCTGAGGAGTTACGCAGGGGGAGGCCTAGAAGATGAGTGGGAGCTATCCAGGCAAATTGGGGTAGTATCTTCCAGCCGAGGGAAGACGTGCGAGAAGGCAAGAAAGAGCATGGTGTGATAAACGGAAAGAAAGAGGCTTGAAAGATAAGGTTTTTATCCTTTATCTCCTTTCATCATCATTATTATTATTATTATTATTATTATTATTATTATTATTATTATTTTCCTTTAACAGGAGTTATAGTTGACAATTAAAAATTGTATGTATTTAAGGTGTACAACTTGATAATCTGCTCTCAATTGTGACTGAGACTAAGTTAAATGGCTTGACCAAGATCACACACCCAGAAATTAATTGAAAACCAGTGGATTGACTTCCCTGTCTACGCTAATTCTAAAACACACGGTATATTTGATAAGGCCTCTGACGGTCTGGCCTTTTGAAAAGGCTAAAAGTGAGACATGTGACAGACAACTAGAAGTCTTTGAATCCCAAGGCTCTGAGCCATGGGACCTGGGCTGCATCAGAAGCAGAGACAGCAGAAACCCAGGCAACTATTAAAAAATTTTATGCCATGGGCCTCTCCTGCCCAATAGAAATGACTGGTTCTGGGTGGCTGGGTGAACAATGTCTCATCCTTGTTCCTGACATTACCTGGGGGACTCCCCAGATATCTCAGGGGCCTAGATCTAAAATTGTCTAAGGTCCTGTGATTGTACATGCTTAAAACTACAGATTAGGTATTGCCTCTGCCAGGAAGCCTCCTTGGACTCTCTGAGCTTGGTTTGATGTCCTTTCTTTGGTTCTCCCACATGCACCCACCCTCCCTTGCTCTGTGCCCTGGGAGTTCTTTTTTTCCCCGCTGAATCACACTGTATTATGCATGTTCATTCACTGGTCTGCCAGCCCCACTTGAAGGTGAGCTTGGGTCCAATTTACCTCCATGTTCCAGTCTGGCCCAGGGCTTTCTGATGCTAGCTGATGGTGAGTGAGCACTCAATTATCCATCTCTGTTGGAGGGAAGGCAGCCTCTGGAAATTTGTGAGTTAAATGGCTTTCATTAGTCCAAAGATGGTCAGTGTTGAAAATCAGATCAGTGGTGGAAAACCCACAGGGGAGCTCAGAGAACGTGTTTTGTTTTCTAGGGGAGAGGCCACCACACCTGCTTAAAAGTGGACGTTATTGCCTGTGTATGGTGTTTTAACCTCAGGAGAGACATTGGGGAGGCGGAGCCCAGGCTGGAGAGGGTCAGGGCTGGAGAGGAAAGTTGCATTTCCACTGGCTCTAATGGTGTCCATACACTTGGAAATCACATTTAACTGCTTTCTGTCTACACATCCATGTCATAAACATGGACTGAGCACCTACTACGTACCAGTTACTCTGTCCTATGCTGGGGAAATAGAAATAAAGCAATGAGTCTATTTGGGAGAGATGGGAAAGGAAACATATGTGATGCAAAGTGCTTTACATAAGAAGCAAGACCTTCAGAAACCCAAAACCAGGGGTGAGTCTCTCTGGGAGAACTGGCAGAGATTTATAGAAAAGATAACATTTAAGCTGAGTCTTAAAAGATAAGTAGGAGCTTGAAGGTGAAGCAAGGCATGTGGCAGAAGAAACAGCATGAACAAAGGCCCAAAGGATTGCAAGGATGTGTCCACTTAGGGAGCAGGGCCAAATTGGTTCAATGTGGTAAGAACATAGCACACGCTTGGGGGTAGAAGTAGAAGGAAAGGAGGCCACAGTGACAGGTGACCTGGCACTGGACTTACCCTCTACAGTGTCACAACCACAGTATCTCTTGTGAAACAGCGTGAGGAGATACTGACCCCTGAGGAAGAGAGAGCATTTTTCACCTCTTCCTGTCAGTGGTCCCATCAACCAAGCACGAAGAGCCCAGTGGCCAGTGGAAGAAGCTGGATAGGTGTTAAGTATGGAAATTGTGGCCTTTGCACTGCAGGAGCCCATAGGGCTGCAGTATTGGGGGTTAGAGGGGTGTCAACATAGGAGGGCCTGGCATATGCTCCAAATAGAATAACAGTCAAGAGCCATGGCAGTAATGTCTCCCCTTGGTGCTGCCCCTGCTTCCTCCAAGAGAGGATTGATCAAAAGTTCTCTAAGGAGAGTAGACTGGGAAAAGAAGGAGAAGGGAGGCGAGGCAAGGAGGAGGGCACCAAAAGGGAAGGTGGGCTCCATGCACCTGCAGTCCATTGCCCTGGCTCTGAGAAAAGATGGGGCACCATCTGCAGAGCCCATGGCAGCCTTGGCTCTCTGAGAAAGCCTTCTTGGGACCAGGCCTCAGGAACTACATTACCCCTTGCATCCAGACAGCTGTCCCATTCCAGAACTCCCCCTTACCTCAGCAAATCCTCTCCCTTGAGTTGTGTGCCGAGAGAAGGGGTCCCATTGGACTTTGAACTCAGCCTGTATGTTTTTTTCATTCTCCACCTGTATCTGGCCCTGAGTTGGGAAGCCTGAGGTCTCTGGTTACCCGTCTGCCCTCACAGCCTCCCAAACTCGATCTCATTTCCTTGCAGCCTATGCTGTGTGACTGAGGGCTTCTCAGTAATGTGAGTTCATTGAGGATTCATACTGTGTCATATATATCTGTATGCCTGGCCTCCAGCATGGGACCAGTGCTGGAGATGAGATACAGACAAATATTATCTAACTGTTTCTGAAAACAGACAAAACTGGTGATGACACACCTTAGTATGTGTGGGGAGCAGTAACAGGGATCAGGGACCTATTCTTTTCCTGATGGATTTTAATCCCTTCATTTTTTAGCAGACACTTTTTCCTTCAACCTTTTCACTCTCTCCCCTAGCCCAGCTGTGGAGATGTGGGTGGGAGCAGAAATGTTCCTTTTTCTACTTACCTGTCTGTCTGTCCATCTGTCTGTCTGTCTGTCTATCTATCTATCTATCTATCTATCTATCTATCTATCTATCTATCTATCTATCTATCTATCACACCATCATCCATCCATCCATCCATCCATCCATCCATCCATCCATCCATCCATCCATCCCTCCATCCATCCATCATCTATTTATCCTCTATCTATCATCTATCATCAACTGGCCAGAGCAGCGATTTATTTTGACTGGCATGTATAAATCATGACTTTGAATAGAATTTAAACTAGAAGCGCACCTGATTCAATACTCTCTTTTTCCAAGTGAATCTGAGGTGCACTTTTGAATGAGACACTATTATTGGGTCTGTAGAGGAATGGGCTTGAGAAGTAGGGTCCTGGCATCAGAGAACAGACCAAACGTGGGAGTTGCAAACATTCAAAAGTGAGCTCAAATGCAAGAATGCATGCAGTCCAGGTCCACAGGGAAGAGTGGTCTCTAGAGAAGATGGTGATGAGCAATTGATGATGTAGAAAAATTGGCCTCAGGGTGAGATGATCTGGCCATGGTGCACGGGCTAAATGCCAGGTCCTGTGCTGAGTGCTGGAGGGCGAAATGAGTGAGACAAGTGCCTAAGGTGATGTTGTTTAGTCAGCATGAGTGTACATTATGGGGTTAGGTCTCAGGAGCTTGAATTTCAATTCTGTCACTTCACAGCTGTATGATCACAGACAAGTAGCAAATTCTCCAAGCCTCACTTTCTCTATCTGTGGACTAAGGATGGTGACAGTACTCTCCTCATAAGGTTGTTGTGGGTATTAAATAAGACAATGCATGTAGAGCACTTAGCATAGCCCTTAGTGACCATTATTATAGGGAGGAGAGTCAACCACACAGGTGCTTTGTACTGGAGTGGGATTAGAAGGCAGACTGGTTTAAAGTGGAGTGTCCTGAGTTAAAGTCCCCTGAGTGAGGACAGGATAAGTTCTAGAGTCTGGGATGGAGCTGAACCTTTAGAGGAGAGTCATGTGGCTCTGGCAGTGGTACGTGAACAACAGGAGGCAGGCAAGGCAACTCAGTCAGAGAGGAAAAGTGGCTTGCCCCAAATCACACAATGAATCAGTGACAGACTTAAGAAAAGGACTCCCTCCTTCAAGCCTTTGTCCTTGCAGCTCCTTCTCCTTGAAATGAGTTACTTCCAAGTACTTCATCATCTGCCTGGTAAATGGCTACCCACCATTCAAGATGCAATTCAGGAGAGTAACATGCTGGCTAAGAACAGGGCTCTGGAATCTGTCTGACTTCTGTTCAAACCTTGCTTTTTGCTTTACTGGCTGTGTGACCTTTGATAAACCATTTACCTTTTAAAATTTCTGTTTCCTCATCTGTAATATAGGGCTAATGATAATATCTGCCTTACAGGATTGTAGTAGGAATTACATCACGTATGTATGCAGGGGCTGAAACATGGTATACTGTTTGGTCCCCCAAAAGGATATGTTCAAGTTCTGACCTCCCTGTTTTGTGAATTTAAATATATTTGGAAATAAGATCTTGAGATGAATTCAAACTAGATTTAGGGTATGTCCTAAATCCAATGACTGGTGTCTTTATAAGAAGAAGAGACACACAGAGACAGTGAAGAAGGTCACTTGCTTAAGGAAGCAGAGGTTGGAGTGACGCGGCTATAAGCCAAGGAACACCAATGATTGCTGAGAGCCAACAGAAGCTAGGAGAGAGGCATGGAACAGATTCTCCCATCAAAGCCTTCATACGAAACCGACCCTACTGATACCTTGATTTCTGGCATCCTGAACTGTGAGAGAATTAATTTCTGTTATTTTAAGCTACATAGTTTGTGGCAATTTGTTCAGGCAGCCCTAGGTAACTAATGCACATGAAAAATACTCAATGGATGGTGATCATTAGCACATTATTATCTATGAAGCCCTTCTCTACACTCTGGGAAGAACTGATTCCTCCTTCTTGAAGTCCTAGCATACCCTGTAGATTCCTGGCACTCCTTTGGGGAGTTATATGCTGATGTAGTCATCCCTGACATTGCACTTCGAATCCTTCAAGGGCAAGGGGTCTGTCTGGCTCATCTTTGTATCTGCGGTGCCCAGTATAGGACCTGGAGCAGAAAAGGCATTTCGTAAAGATTGAACAAGAACCCAGGTTTTCTGTCTTTCTATTGGCACCCAGGTCCCTGTCAGCCTCCTGTCTTGACAGAATACTTCATAATCAAATGCAGAGCATCTGGTACCCTTCCCTGCCCTTCCCCCACATCTGGCTGAATTAGGTGTGAATGAATCAAAAACATAAGGATCCCATTTGCTTTCCCCTGCTTCTTTTTAAGCGTGCATTTAGAATTAATCAGCCAAGCATGACTGAGAGTTTTGACAAACCCAAAATATTAAGGAAAGAGTTCAAGATGTTTTGATGATCCCTAGTGCAAAGGTGGTTAAGCTGTTGGCCCAACCATGTATTCTATTTGAGGCCAGTGGAATTTTGACTAACAGCAGCCTGCACCAGTCTTGTAGGTCAAGGTGGGAGATGCACATGGAGACTCTGACATCCCGTTTCTCCCAGGGGTACTTGGCCCCAGGATTCACACTCTCCAGGGGACAGCCAGTGCCAAGATGTGCCGGGAAGACAGAGTGCTGAATGTTTGCCTAGTGTCAGAGCTGCCGCCCTTGGCTCAGGAATAAAGTGCTCAACGTTGCAGTCCTGAGCAAGTCTGACACCACTTACTGATCTTTAGATTTCAGGTCTGAAGTTCACGATAACAGGTGTGATGCAGAGATGGGTACTGCTAGACCCTGCTGGAGGGGACAGTCAAGAGGTCAGATGGCTTAAAAATCGATGCACTGTCTTCTCTCTCTTTGAAAAAACAAATGAGTCACTGTTTTTTCCTTATACAAAAACAGTAACTGCTTTTTTTGTATATGTGGAAAATAATCATATAGAGAAATATTTATAGGGGGAAAAATCTACTTATATCTCAAACTTGTAGCGATACCACCATCGACACTTTGTTATATGTCTTTCTAGACATTTTTCTATGAGTGCATATATACATATTACATATATACATATAAATTATCACATCGTACCCTCAATTCCCAGTTCCCAGAATATAAATGATGTGCCCCAAACTGAGTAGAGGGATACTTCCTATACATATAATTAAACATATGTGTAATTATATATAATTAAATATATAGTTTTTATATATAATTAAATATATATAATTTTAGAAATAAAATTGGGACAAAATTGAGAGTATACTATTATGCTTTTTGCGCTTTGATTGTTCAGTTATTTATCTTTTAGGTTTTAGCTTAAATGCCATTTTTCTTGGGAGTTTTTTTGCCTGGACCCGAGCAGCTTACCCAACTACATACTCTCACAGTACTCTATATTCATATTGTGATATATTGTAATGCAGCAGTAAACATTTCCATATATAATTTTTGTGTCTCCTGTTGGACTGTAAATTTGACAAGCATGGAACAGAGACTGACTTGAGCCGTAATCCTATTCACCACCTCTCTAATCCTGCACGTGACTCAGTTCCCCGAGCTACTGGGTTAGAGAAGAAGTGGCTAAAGGAATTCTATTTGGTACTGACTCCAAGTTAAAGCTAAGGATTCAGAACTGTACTATGGTTTACCACCTAACATGGGGCATGAAGAAAGACTTTGGTAGGTCAAGAAATAAATAGAGATCTCACCTGAGTTCTCTTCATAGAAGGACAACAGGGCACTGAATCTCCTTGTCGTTATTAACCCAGGGTGGGTAATAGCTGGAATGGATATCTTTAGCAATTGACAGAATTCCCACACAGCTTCCTGACCCATGATAAGGCCTACCATGGAGAAAAGATTACATAGAAGCCATTAACATTCACCAGTTACACAAAAATAAAAAAATCAAAAGCAATAACACATTTCTGAGGAGAGTTGAAAACATTATTACAATTATCAAAGACTTGGAAGATACATTCAAGGTGCTTCTTTGCTCATGCCCACTTAATTTTTCATTTGTCAGGTTAAAAGAATTCTTGAGATGATAATAGTTTGTCATAATGGTAATTAGGTGGCGGCTCCAATCGCAGCTGCTGTTTCAGATGTATTCTTCTACAGCTAAGTGATACAGCCCCTAACATTGGATATGTAGCTATTGAGCTGGCAAATGCGTTTTCTCCATTCTGAATCACAGCGAACATTAGAGGCAATTTGCTTTCATCTGGTAGGTCGATTAGTAATATACTACTCTCCCAATTCAGGGAATTGTCAGTTCTCCAGATCTGTGCTAGTTTCTTCTGTAGAATCTTGATGGCCTCACCATCTTATAGTACATCACGTGAGAATTTCCACAAGCTCGATGACACTATGTAATAGCTTGATGACATTTTGTAATGATGGTCTTCAGGACATGCTACCCTAAAATATGGCACCTTGACATATTGCATATTCTAGGCTGAAGGAGTCTGAGAAAATGGCCAAAGCAGGAAAGTCACTGTCACCATCCTTCCTTGCCCTTCTTCCCTGAAACATGTCATAAAACTCCCATGTGAGAGGTACCCTCCCTGTACTTGAGGAAGACAGATGTTCTTACCACCACAAATGGAGACTTTGGGGTCAAGAAATCTGTACAAACAAACCTTGTTAAACTAATCTTTATCTTGAATGTTATCTCTTCGCCATTTACTACTCAAGCCCACACTCCTTTGTCTTGTCAAATTTGTTTGTTTATTTTCTAAAAGATATAAAAGCTTCCTCCTCTGGTCACTTCTTCAGGTCTTCATTCTCTTGTGAAGGCTCCCATGTACATTTAAAAATTAAAAAAAAGTATATGCTTTTCTTTTGTTAATCTGTCTTTTTCAGTTCAATTTTCAGATCCAGCCAGAGACCCTAAGATGGTTGAGGGAAACTTATTCTTTCTCTACTCTAGGTAAGACCTAGAAATAGCAGATAACCTAGATGTTTGGCAAGATACACGTGTACAGATGGTGAGCTATACATCCTGTGAAATTGAGCTCTATATAGCTCCAGTGACTTAGAGCAGAGTTCTCTGAAAAGGGAACACAGTCTGTCTTGCAACTTGCTTAACTCTGTTGTTATAGAGAGGAAGCAGCCATAGACAATATGCAAACCAATGTGCATGACTCTGTTCCAACAAACTTTTATTTATAAAAACAGGCTGAGGGCTTGGTTTGGTCTGTTGGTCTTAGTTTGCAGACCTCTGATCTAGAACATGGTCAAATGTCTCCTCCAGACACAAAATGGTCTCCCTATTCTCTTTTCCACGGTGAAGGAGGCATGATGCTAAGTGGGCTTCTTAAAAATTCGGAGCCAGTTGATGCCATATTTGGGTGTATTGCTCTTACCTATTTGCCAGGTGACCTGAAAAACTGGCACCTTCAAGAAAGGTCCAGATTAAAAGGAGGAACTCTAGCTCTTCCAAAATGCAGAACTCTTTTGACCTACAGACACAAAATGAGGACTTGAGGTGTCTGCAGTAAACTGAGATGCTGAATGGTCTCACATGAAAACAGCATCCTAACGTTCTTACTTTCCTTAACCTTCTGATCCTTTCCTCAGTACTCTGCCTACGCAGTTTTGTTACCTCTTTCTCATTCGCTAGAGGCCAAATTTGTGTCTAAGTTTCAAAGAGCCATCCCAACTGTCCTGGAGGCTTCTTGACTTTCACAGCAAATTTGGATAGATAGTTGGCTAACTGAGCTATCATTTTCCTTATATGAAGACTTCTAAAACCGCTAATCACAGCTAACCAAATCTACAATCCTTATAATTACCATTGCCCTCGTATCATTCGATGTCTCCATGCTTCACTTCCTTCCAACCCACCTCTGTCGTAGCACTTTGTACTTCTAGGGGTTATCACCTCCCCATTCACTACCAGCAATAGGTTCCTTATTGCCATCTGACCTGTGAGTATTTCAGTTCCAGAATCCCGCCTGGAAGGTCTGCTTTCCAGGAACACTTCTTATGGCAACTCTCTTAGATTAGGTTATCCCCAAAAGTAGATCCAACTTCCTTTGCTCAAGTGTGCCACTGACGTTCACACTGCTGTGCTTTTCTTTTAGGCAGAATGGACAATCTTCAGGATCCAGCTTTGTACCCTGCTCTTCCAAGCTTTGTCTCATACCACCCCTCCCTCAAAGTCAAGGTACTGGTCAAGTAAATCATTTTCTCAAAGACCTCATTTATAATACTTAACAACAGATCTGCCCTTGTTTCTAGATGATTGCTTGAGACTGGTGGTCTGCATATTATTGTTGACACGACTGTTTCCCCTGAGGCTGTCAGTGATGAAAATGAATGTAAGCCCATGGCTATTTCCCTAGCATCAAGCATTTTGCCTGGCAAAAAACCTTAAGCATATCTTAAGACATTTTTGCTGAATAACTGAATGAATGGATATTCACCATGGACTGTGCTGAAGACACCAAGCCTCCAAAACTGCGCTTTCTGCTGACTGGTACTGGTGGTGGGGTTTCTAGTCCTGTAAACAGCTGCCCCATTTAAATTATTTGCTCTGTATTTTTTTTTCTAAGCCCCTAAAACCTTGAGGCACAATAACCTCTTCCCTTGCATGAGATTTGCAAGTCATCAATTCCCTACCATGGGCCATTTCCTTTGTCAAGGGGAGAAAGTGATTCCCTGCAGTCTTCTGAATTTACAGAGAAAAGCTATCCAGATGTGGCTGGCCTACCTCTCTCTGCTTCCTCTCTCTCACAGCCCCCCTAATTTTGCCTCCAAATGAAATTCATTCCTGGCTGAGGGGAGAGAGGAAGGATTAGGGAGTCCACATGCAGCTTCTTTCAAGCTACAGGGGAGGGCAGATGGTTCTACTCAATGTTTTCTTTACATGCAGATTTTGTTCCTTAAGGCAAAATGCAGGCTATGACTACCCAGGCTGGCTTTATGTCACTCTTGTGGGGTTGAGTGGCCTTCCCAGGCTGGGTCAGTGCATGGCAGGAAGAGACCTGGCTGTTGCAGGCTTCTGAGTCAAGAAGTGCTCTGGGATCCATGATGGAAGAGATGTGACCAGCCTCAAGTCTGGGCTGAGCTCTGGTTTCTTATATTGAATCGTAGTCAGAAATAACTCTAGGAGCTCGGTGAGTTCTGGAATAACAGGATAGAGAATACTAGGAGTGTTAGGCCTTAAGTTTTGCTATGAAAAATGGGGGTGGTTTGTTTGGAAAGAAGTGGGCATTCTAAACAAACCAAATAATGTGAATATGGTAGCAACGATTTGGATCGAAATTAATTTCAATCCAATAAATTTTTGTTGAGTATCCAGTGTTAAAAAGTGATTTAAAAAGACAGTTTAGATGATACAAACAAACTTATTTAATACTTCATGGAGGGGAGTGTCCATTTAGAGAACTGCAAAATGGGGCAGGGTCTTTTATAGAATAAAGAATAAAAAACAAGGAAGAGAAAAATAGAAAATACCTGATTGTCTGGGGCCATGTAGTTGTAACCGCACGCAGACTTCATTTCTTTAAGACAGTTTTTTTCCGAGTCAAGCAGACTTTGCCAAGTTAATGGCATTGTGACTCATTTGCTTTTTCCATCCTTATTCTTTCACCATTGTAGGCTAACTCCATTAATCATTAAGCCGTAGGACATAAGGACATAAGGTTCTTGGCCAGTGTCAAATCTTTTAGGAATAAAGCCTCAGGTCTATTGATCACTAGTTTCCATTAAACTAAGGATAACATCTTGGCTTCAGGTATGTTTCAGCCCCACCCACCACAGGACCAGATGGGATGATACCACACCTATTTCCAGAACTGGACACAAGGATCAATTAGCCCCATCCAGTCAGTAGCATCCACTACACCCATGGCCCAGATTCCCTTAGTTTCCATGACTAAGGATTTTTCCTCTACATAATCTATTCCCCTCAAGACATCAGAAGGCCAGGTCTTTGAGAGGTAGATCACCAGTGTCTCTGGCACTTGCAACTCTCTAAAAGAAACCTTTACTTTCTTTGCTGCAAAACCCGTGTGTGTCTCTCTGGACTTAGATACGTGCAGGCAGACGGGCCCCTTTGCTCTGGTAATGTAGTTAACTTTGTTTTGAGTGAGAAGGAACAAGGAAATAAGTATAGATCCTAGAGTTGGCTTGGCATCTGGGGGTCGGCTGACTGCATTTCTGGCCCGGCAGAGCATTTAAAGGGACATGAAAATTATCTAAGTTTTGGTTTGCGAGATTGCACCTTGGGCAGGAACAGCTCTATCTTGGGCTTAGTAATCATTTTCACAGTGGCATGTATCAGACATGAGTGTTTATGGATCTGTCCCCCATCAGGCAGTAAGTCACTTGTGGACAGGGACTATCTACATTTAAGCGAAAGATTCAAAGAGCTCGGCCGTTTAATCTGTTCCTTGGCACCAGGCCTGGTACTAGATGGCAGGGATCAGAGTTGAATATGGTTTCTGAAGTCAGGCTCATAGCCTAGCAGTTACAATGATGTAGAGACTTGTGTACAAGTTCAGAACAGCACAGAGAAGAGAGTGATGAATTCTGTCCAGTGAGGTCAAGGATGTTGCATAAGAATATGAGTCTAAACTGAGTTTTGAAGGAAATACAGGATTTCCTTGGCTGGATGGAGAAAGGGGTTGAGGAACAGCATACAGAAAGGCTCAGATGTGTACTTGGGGGGAACTATAAATAGTTTGTATTTTCAGAGTGTTCATTCAGTAATTATGAAGTACCTGTACTTTATGTGACAGGAACTCTTCCAGTTGCTGGGGCTACAAGAATAACTAAGGCAGACTCTTTCTTTCTCGCTGTATTAGTCTGCTTGGGCTGCCTTAACAAAGTACCACAGATTGGGTGGCTTGAACAACAAAAAATTATTTTTCTCACAGTTTTGGAGGGTAGGAGTCTGAGATCAAGGTGTTGGCAGGGTTGTTTTTTTCTGAGGCTTCTCTCCTTAGCTTGGAAAAGGCCATTTTCTCCTTGTATTTTCACGGCATGGTCTACCCTCTGTACATGTCTGTGTCCTAATTTACAATTCTTATGAGAACACCAGCCACTATGGAATTAGGTCCCACCTTAATGACCTCATTTTATCTTAATTACCTTAATTATCTCTTTTAGAATTTTATCTCCAAATATAGTCACTTTCAGAAGTACTGGGGGTCAAGGCTTTAATATATGAATTTTGGGGGGATGATTCAGCTCAATACTTGGGGTGGGTTTACATTCTAATGTGTGTCAGGGGGAGGGGGCAATAAATGACTCTACCAATAAACATACTTGGCAATTTTAGATAATAATAAGCATTATGAAGAAAGAAAAACAACATAGTGGCCTAGAAATTGACTACTTGTTATTATATATATTATATTATGTATTACATATTATAGCGCATATATACAAGATTGACAAATACTGTCGGATCACCTTTTATGAGACAGGACTTGGGTTTGTTGTTGGGGATCAAAAGGTCTGTCATACATAATCCTTGCCCTTAAAAAGTTCACAGTGCAGAAACCTATGTGCACATATGAAGATGTATGAGGAGACATACATAGTGGGATTTAAATGGTTAATCAGGAACACTGGAGCCGAGTCAGCTGGGTGAAGGGAGGTGGTGGTGGTGGGCTAGTCAATGTATCATGGTATTTGGGTTCTACCCAATGGGAAAAATCTATTTCCATCTTGGGTCCCAGAGATGAAATTCATTTGCCACCAAAGGTTGTGGAAACAAAACATTCTTTGATGATGGAAGCCCAAGCACAGAGGCCTGTGTCCTGACTTTTCTCTGAACCTGAGACCAGGTAGATACAGAGGCTCAGATCAGAGAAGAGTGTGTAGATGCCAGTGGGATTAATTCGTTATTAGCAATAGGCATTTACTCTCGACACCATGGTAGATAAAGGCTTGTACTTATAGTGACCCTTGAATAAGTTCTGAAGCAGAGACTAAAAACACAAGCCCCATAAAACGTGGTTATGTCAGTCCAAACCAGTAGGACAAGAGCAGTAAGAGTCTCTAAGAAGGGGCCTGCAAAAAGCAGGCGAAAAAAGGAGAAATCCACCTGTGTCAAACTGGGACTGGTTCCTCAAGGAGAGGGAGCAAAGCCTCTGTCAGCAGTTTAGGGCAGATATTCTCAAAGCTTAATGGGCCCAAGCATCTTTTGGAGAGAATGTATACCTGTAGAGGATTAGGCCTCACCTGGCATTCAGTAGGGGGTTTGTGGTCAGACCCTGGAACCAGCATTTTGAACAAGCCACACCCTTTCCTCCCAACATGTTTTGGATGTTCATGTACATGCAGATATGGATCTAAGCCCACAGATGTAGGTAGTGGGATTGCTGATCACACTCCAAAGACTTCTGTGTTATTAAATACAAACAAGACTTGAATTAACTGTATGATAAATTATATATAGTGTTCTAGTCTATGAGTATAGTCATTCTCAACTAACCCTTTTGGATCACAAAAGTCCCTAGTTAATGCAGCTGTGCAAATATTGTTTTATATATACATAAATATTCTTGGATCAGGTAGACCCTGCCTATCTCAGTTACTATTTGGACTATCCACTTTCAGGTGTCTGAGGAACAGCCTGGGGGTTTACTACTTTGCTCAAGTTCCGAAAGCAACTGCAAGGAAGAGGGAGAGGACCTTGTTACACTGTTGTACGATGATTATTCATAACATCTATTGAGAGCATACCATGTGCCAGGCGCTTGGGTTTCAGGCAAAGACTGAAAGGCAAATAGTTTAACTGGGCAATGATCTCAGGAAACACCCATCAGGAAGTGAGACAGGAAAGGGAAGAAAACTAGTAAAAAGTGTCTTATCAAGTATATCACTCTTTCATGCAGGACAGGGCAGATTCCCCCAAGTAGGGGGAGGCCAAGCCCTGTACTGAGAGAAGAAGAGGGTCCTTTGACAAAGAATGTAGAAAGAATTTAACACACATGCCAAAGTTAGAGTCAAAAGGAAAGTTAAGTGGAGAAGGAGTAACACTCTGTAGATAGAGCGTGATCTCCTCTCAGAGGCAGGGAGTGAGAGAGCCTAAGAGAGACTCAGAGGGACAGAGACAATTGAGAGAGGAGGACAGTGAGAGATACTGAGTAAAGGCACTGAGAGGGACCCCAAGTGTTCTGGGAATTCAGTTTGCATATTATTTTTTAGTTCCTGTGAGTTACAGTTTAAGGACTTTGTTTACCCATTTCCTTTGATATGGGCATACAGTGAAGTGGAAGGGGAAGAGTATGTAGCACGAAAAGGTACGAATATGTAGTGTGAAAGGCCTGCTGGCAGTTCCCAACCTTTAATACATAGGTAACCTACGGTTTTAGCCATAGGGAATGAATGATTTTATTTTGTCTGGGGCAGACACTTAAAGATTCTGTTTTTCCTGCTTCCTCTTTCACAGGTGTGGGAAATGGGTTGTTAGCAATCCCAGCAGAAATCTTACTTTGTTCTGCAGGTGTCCTTGTGGCCTGGCTGCAGAGCTGATCAGCATATTGCAGCCTGAATGTAGCTTGATTTAACATTTTAATTCTCTTGCCTCCTCCCTACATTACTGTGAACAACTGGAACTGAGTCATACTAGGGTCCTCCATGGTGGGGTGATGAACTGACGGTGTTTACCTGGGACCAAGGGGTTTGATGAGATGAGGAACTTTCAGTGCAAAATCCAGGAAAGTCCCAGGCAAATCGAGATGCACTGGTCACCCAATTTGGGAGTCAATGTAGTGCAAGGGCCTAAAGTTATCCCAACTGGGGTGAGGAAATTGGATTCTTTATCCAGCAACTCAACATCTGATTGGTCAGTGCTGATGCAGGGTCTGGATCCTGAATGAAGAGATGCAGTTTCTCCTTGCAGCTCTGGAAGTCCCAAGTGCTGAGTCAACCAGGCTGCTGATTGTCACCTGTCTCTGTGAAATAGGAGAAAGAGCAAGAGTGCTTCTTGCTACATCCATGGCTTCCCACCTTTCTTTGTCTCACTTCCTTTTTCTTCACTCTCACAGCCTGGGCCTGCACCTCACAAGTAAAGTATCAGCATCATAATCCCTGCCTCAGGCTCGGCTTTCTAGAGGAGCCGGCCTAATTCAGTGAGGATTTAATAAACCCAAGTTCAAGGCTTAGTTCTTTGGCTGACCTTCTGTGTCACCTTGAGTATTAATTTTTTCTCATCAAGGCCTCAGTTTTCCCATCTCAAATGAGATCAGAAGTATAGTGACCCTTGAACAACACGGGTTTGAAATGTGCATGTCCACTTATACATGGATTTTTTTCAATAACTATAAAGTGGGACCCCTGCATGTTTGATTTTCACATCCACAGAGTTAATTGATTATAGATTGAAAACAATATTTTTGATCCACATTTGGGAATCCACAGATGCAGAGGCCCAACTGAATGCATTGTTCTATACCATTTTATATAAGGAAACTTGAGCATCCTCAGATTTTGGTGTCTGCAGGGGTCCTGGAACCAATCCCTTGTGGATACATGGGACAACTGGGAAGTCAACAGTTATATGTGGAATTTTGACTGCAAGGGTGTTGGTG